CTGTGGGGTTTCCTTGTGCCCTCGACCAGCCGGAGGCCCTGGGCTGCCCAGACGGTGCCTCGCCCCCCGCCCGCTCTGCCGCGGAGAGGGCAGGCGGCGTTTTCCCTGCGCGTTGTTCTGTTGGGCCACGCTCAATTCCCACGAGAGGCTTTGGGGAGCGGTTTGTGATGTCGCTTCTTTGCAGTCATGCTTTTAGGAGTGACGTTGCTGCGGAAGAAATATCCACCGGCCAAGTATCTCTGCGTCCTCTTGATAGTCGCGGGCGTGGCCCTGTTTTTGTATAAACCGAAGAAGGCGGCTGGGAGCGATGACCACGTCTTTGGCTATGGAGAACTCCTCCTGGTGAGTACTGCCGACGCAGAAATCGCCCTGGCAGGGCTGAGGAGGAACAAGCAGTTGCAGCTCAGATAAGGCCGTGGCCTTTGTACCTGAAGCGTAACCTGAAGCTGGCGTGGAGACGCTCGGGCGGGAGGACACGTGGGTTCCAGGGGTGCGCTCTTACGCTGCGGTGTGGGATCAGCACGTGAGCGCACGCACGTCCCTCTTGGCAGACACTTTGAGGCCACAGAATTGCTGCTGAGTAGGTGATTGGGATGTAAAAATAGGGGGAGAACGCTCAAAATTTTCCTGACAGAGAGAGTGGAGGTTTTCTGTCTTTCCCTTACCGGTGTCGCTTCTCTCCGTAGCTGCTGTCGCTGACCTTGGACGGGCTGACCGGTGTCTCTCAGGACCACATGAGAGCTCACTACCAAACGGGTTCCAATCACATGATGCTGAACGTTAATCTGTGGTCCACCTTGTTCCTGGGAGCTGGTGAGGAACACCCCGCAGAAACCACAGCCACCGCCCCCAGCGACCGCCCGGGCACACCCCATCATGTCCAGCTCCAAAAATGGGCCCAGAGCACTTGTTGCAAATAACTTTATGCTTTGCTTTGGGGTTTTTTTTTTGTTTGTTTGTATATGTAAAGTCGGGGTGGTTCCGTGTAGCTCTTCTCGTGCCCACTAGAGGACACGGCTTTGCTGCCCAACGCGTGTTCGCGCCTGAGAAGTCGCTGCAGGCCAGCTCCGCGCTCCAGCCCCAGCTGCCCGGGTTTCTACCCATGGGCTCCCGTGTGTCGGCGGAGAAGCAAGCCGTATCGGTGTAGCTTTTCGCTGCAATTAAGGAGTAGCGCTTCCAATTAATTGCCAGGGACCGTTTTGTCAGAATTGGATTGCAGTTAATGATTGCTTCATTCGTTAACTGGGAAGGCGATCGCTTTTTCTCCTGTTCTCTTTGTTTTCTGCTATGTGGAACTTACTCTTTGCTTTTAGTGGCTCCTCTTGGGTTATGAGCATGAGCTGGAACGATGCTACGCAGGCAGTGGCTACTCGGGCTGCCCCTAGGCTCATAACTGATGCTCTTCATCGTGATCCTTCTTCCAGGGATACTGTTCACTGGAGAGCTCTGGGAGTTCTTGAGTTTCACAGAGCGCTACCCCAGCATCATTTACAACATCCTGCTGTTCGGCCTGACGAGCGCGCTGGGCCAGGTAAATTACACCTCCCCTTTCTGCAGTCTGCGCTGGGATGCGTTTGCCCAGGTGGGAGACGGCAAAGTAAGGCTGGTGCGTTGGCTGGTGCTTGCTTTCTGTACGGCTGCCTTCAGAGTAAAACTGGTTTAAGTTTGTATGCGAATAATCAGGATTTGAAATAAGGTTCTTTCAGCTCTGTCTTGATGGCTTTTCATGTGGAAATGTGACCTGTGTTGTACTTTTTCCAGTCAAAATGACAAAAGGCATCTGTTTGGTTTTTACAGAGTTTTATTTTCATGACCGTGGTGTACTTCGGACCTCTGACCTGTTCCATCATCACCACAACCCGCAAGTTCTTCACCATTTTAGCGTCCGTCATTCTGTTTGCCAATCCCATCAGTCCGATGCAGTGGGTGGGGACAGTCCTGGTGTTCTTGGGTAAGTCTGGGGAGCAAATGCCTGAGGCCTTTCCCTGAGAACTTCAGCAGAGATGATGTATAGCGAGGGGAGAGCTAACAAAAGTTGCTGGTCCAAAAAAATCGCATTGTATTGAACACTCGGGATGGAGGAGCGTGTCGGTAGCCTCACCAGTGCAGGAGGAACGTGACTTCCAGCAGATGTTTGGTTTCCCTTCACCCCCTACGCTGAGTGACCTTTAATAAGTTGGTGCTGTTCAGCTGATTTTTCCCAAAGTTCCTCGCATTGTGTTTGTTTGGAGAATGCGAAGCCATTTGCTGTGCACATGGATTATTTGATCTCTTTGCAGGCCTTGGACTTGATGCCAAATTTGGAAAGGGAGTAAAGAAGACATCGCATTGAGGAAATGGCTGATCTCTGCAGTTGGAATGAACTTTTAATTTATTGTCTTGTACCTCAAAATCTGTTATGAAACTGGACTCAAGATAGGTAATCAGAAGGGGAGTGTCTGGATTTTTTTTTTGTTTTATTTTTTTTAATTCTAAATTGTCTTGAAAGTGTATTACTTAAGTTTTAATTTTAATTAAGCTTTTTTTTTTTTTTCTGTAACCAAAGCTGCATTACTAGATCCTAGCAGCAGGATGAAATTCTTGCCTTAACAGGAAAAAAACTTCATATCTTTAGTAAAGAAAAAGTGACAATGGCTCCTTTTCCAGAACTTTAATTTCGGTATCGTTGGCTGATCTTTGGGAGAAACAGCACACCTCCCTCCAAGGAGAGGGCTAGTCCTAGAATTGTGTTCGGTCTTTGGTGTGGCCTGGACGGATCCCTGGATTAAAGGCCTGTGTTGGACATCCCTCTCTTCTGACTGGTTGTATGATTTTTCTGTAACTGAGTTGGTGGAGCAGCCAGTTGGACATTCTTCCATTAAGATAATATGTGTAAACACCAAGATGCGTTATATCCTTCATCCGAGCCCTGCTAGAACAGAAGCAGCTCTTGGCATATGTAAAAGTTTACCGGAAACCTGTTTAACCAGTGGGGCCCAAATTAATTCCTTTCATCCCCCCTGCTGATGAAGGAACAGGACCCTCTGCTGCTAAAACCATGCCAAGGTTGTGTGACAGCGGCTTCTAAATGTTGAAAGGGCCCTTGTTAATTAACCACCATCCCAGTGAGCTTTCGAGCACCCGCTCCTGAGCGCAGGCTAGCTCCCCAGTGTTGTACAGGGAGGAGTTATTACCATAATGATGCCTTCAGAGTTGGAGAGCAAAATTCTCCAAAGAGCAAACTTTACACATGAAAGCATGTTGCTACCAGCTGTCACTTGGTCTCCATCTGTTCTGTGGCTTTGGCCTTTTGCCCCTCCAGATGGGATCTTGATCTCTTTCCTGAGCGGCTGTTTTTAAGTCTCTCTCCATCCCCTGCTTCTCCCACCCCTCCAGTGTTTCTTACAACTTTTTTTTGCCTGGAATTTGATTTTCATTTAATCTGTCTGACTATCCTATGATTCTACTCAAACAACACATTTCTTGCAAAGTTAAACCCCAGGCTATTAAAGGGTTTTTCTCTGTCACCTTCACCTCTTTGCTAACTTACGTTGTCTTAAAGGTCAAGTGATAAGCAGCAAACAAACATGTTCTCAGTAGTAGAGAATCCTGAAGTAAAAGCTTCTCTGACTTAACTCCATGAATACTGCCTGATGAACACCATGCTACTGTGCAGTGATTCTGGCTTCCCCGAAGACAGTTATCCTTCCCGGTGTATCCAAGGTAATGAATACTGTTTCCATTTTATAAAAGGGAGCAGAGAAATTGCGTGATTTGTTCATGAACACTGTGGCAGAGATAAGAATTGATTCTCTTTTGTGCGTCTTTATCATAAAACTATCTTTTATCTGTGTTTGTAGGAGTTACGCTCCTCTCTCAGCACTATCTTAAATTTAACCGATTCTCAAACTCAGCAACCAAAAGCAGCAAAAAGATTCTAGATGAGCTGTCAATTCTATTAGTTTCGCAGACTTGTTTTCCTTCTGTTAAATCAGTAATATAATGTAGGGTTAGACCCAGCTCCCTGTCACTGTGCAAATACAAACACCTGAAAATGCATTATCGATCACTTGGTCCCTCAACCATCCACCTCCTCGTGATAATCTCGAATTTCTGTTCAAGCATATTGCCTGTTAAGAATATGAGTCACTGCTGTTACAAACCACTACTCTAGAATAGAGTGTGTGCAACAAATCGCAGGGAAATCACTCTTATTTTGATTCTGCAGAAGCAGAATTGCTTATTAGCAATAATTCTGTACTGACTAAAGCTCTTGAGAAAGTAGATGATCAGAAGTTGAGGGAGTGAGACGGCAGCAGCCTTCCTCTGCTGTGCTGTCAGTCTGTTACTGGTGATCTCCTTTTTAGATACGGCACCCCAAGCCAAATTGCCTCTTGCGCGTACGTGCTAGGAAGGCTGCTCTTCCTGAACTCTCCTCCCCCTTTCACCCCGAGTTTAGGTGTAACCCTAAGAGAGATGGCATCTTAAAAATGAAACAAAGACTTCACTGTTAATTTTTTCCTTAACCATTGAAGAGATGCCACCATAGTTTTAAGAGAAGGCTTCCTCAAACCCACAGGTCTGTCCCCTTCCCACACTGCAGCAGCCCAGACGACCAGCAGAAAGAATGAAGCTGGGAGCTGCCTAGGGTCTGTTTTCTAAGCCAAGATCTGTCTTTACCAATGTCTTCAACTTGTCTGTAGTCAGAGGACAGATTTAAAGATCAGTCTGCCAAGAAGAAATAAAGGAGATTTTCTCTCTCCTGATTGCTGCAGGCTCCCTTGACCCACTTTAGCTCTAAAGCCTATTCCTGGTATTGTTCCAGCTGGGTTCTTGCTGCACCTCCAACTCTTAGTCAATAAGAATTTCTTAAAGGCAGCTCTTGTACTTACCTGGAGTCTAAATCCTTTGGATTTCCTTGGACAGCTTGCTGTCTTCTCTCCAGACCTCACGTACTGCGAGATCCCAGAGGAGGTTACAAAAGCAATTCGAGAAGCTGTTTTCGAATCAGCACTGCTTTTCTTCTTGGACAGTTCTAACAACGCTGCCACAAAACAGGTCCCCAGCTTTGAGCTGCCAGAAGGATTGCTGTAATACCTCTCCCCAGCGACAGAACAGTCACCACGCTTTGAGACGCCTGCCTGGGGGCTTCTGGTCTACGTTCCTGCTTGAGTTCAGCTGCCTCTTTAAACAGGGACAGGTAAACTCCAAAGGAACTGGGTTAGGATGCAAAAAAGTTTTCATCCTCTGTGTTTCCTTTTCCTATTAGAAATGGTAGCTCCTCTTCAAGATACCTTTTGCAGAGGGCTAATTATGTTTAATAGTTTTCTGGCTTTTGTTTTTTTAATAAACAGTGCAAGTGTCTTCAGAGGCAATGCTTGAATTTCTGGTGAAGTGTCAGGAAAGGCTTTATGTCTTCACGTAAGAGGTAACGTACAAACCGTGGACAGAACTTACTCTAGTTTATCTAGATACTGCATAACGAGTATGGTTGTGCAAAGGAATCTTTAACTACTGCTGGCAAGTTGTATTTTGCTTATTCAAAGAAGGAAGCGTTCTGTGGTAGCCTGTGCACCTATACGCAGTTCAGAGGGCTCAAGGAATTCAAGCACAGTGCCCAGGGTCTCTACCAATAGTCTGCGCTTCACCGGTTCTGCTACAACTCAGTTTGTGTCTCTGCTTTTTTTAGCCATTCTTCAGTTTAGTAGAAGGGTGCAAACCTAGTTAAATAAAACAGACTACCTTGTTAGTCCCGTGTGCTTGATTTGTCCGTCTTTCCCCAGCTGTAAGCAAGCAATAGTTTTGTGATAATGCATATTTTCCAGAACAAAACGTTTTTGTAAAGTGTAAAGCATCACCCGTTGCAGCCAAGATGGTAGGTGCTTTGAACACCCACTGTGTAATGTTTGGAGCTGGGGCTGACTTGCCAGTGGGTTACTAAAGGGAATGCTCATGGTTTGCTCTTTCTGTAGCAGATGTGACTGGTCTCCAAGTAGAAGAGGAAGGGAACTCAGTTGAGTAGGAAATTAATTTATTAAGTGCCTTAGACAAAGCCATGCAAGTGCAAACCATGAAGGTCAGGCTGAGAAGTTATGAAGAGATTCCATCTTCTCTTCTACTTCTTGTTGGCTCCAGAGTCCCAACTCCAAGTCCATTTATGTCTCGGCCAGTTACCAGTAGGGGGAACTCTTCTTTCAATCATTTTCAAGAAATACGGCGGGGGTGGGGGTGGGGGGTGGGGAAACAACAAAAAAGCAGTTCCTCCTTAATTAGCAATATAATCGTACTTTTGGAGTCTTGGTGCTTACAGTAAAAACATAACGTGGAAATCAAGGTCTTCCGCCACTTTTACTCTGCTTAATTCTTTTTGACCATCAGCAGAAACTACGTTGAAGCTAGGTCGTTAGGAGCTTTAACACCATCTCTTCTGCAGAATGGCCTTCGTTACAGATAGCAGGAGTATAAAGTGGTGTGTGCACACCCGCCTGTCCTCATGTAACACAAACAGCTGGCTTCCTGCAGAGCTGCTGCCGCTGCCATCGCAGTCAATGTTTTTGAAAACATTTCTGCCAGAATTCTCCTAGGAACCTTGTCAGTTCTTGGTAGTTCCAGGGAGATGAGAGTCCCTGGTTCCAGGGAGATGACTCTTCACGCGCATACTGAGAACAAACAGCAGATTTCATTGCTGCAGTGTTTGTGCCTGTTGTCCCTCCAGGAGGAACTCATTGAGGTATCAACTAAGAAAGGTGAAGTTTTATTTTGTAGCTACCTGAGACATGGCATCCACAGGGGGGAAAACTTGGCAGCTGTGTTCCTTTTCCTTTCATCTTCCTTCTTTTTACAAGCTCCTTCTGCAATTCCATCAACAGATGCTTAAAAAATCCCAGTTGTTTAGAATAAGGTAGATCATACTGCACGTGTCTCTTTTGTAGAGGTGGATATAACTGCGTAACACTGATGATTTTCTGATCACAGGATAGTAAAGATTCACACTCAAATGACAGCGGTTTAAGGGATAAGGGAGTTATTGTTACTGCTTTGAAATCGGTGAATTGCCAGTCTTGAAGGTACCACTTTAAAAAAACCAACCCTAATGCTCATTCTTCAACAACTAGAATTTATGCTGTGCCACTCAGTTAAGAGTTGGTGATTATGGGAGCTTACCCTGCAGGATTCCAGTGTCTTGCTAAGGAAATGGGAATTCCTGTCAGATTTCACAGACTGAAAAGTACATGAGAATCAAAATAGCACCCATCGGGGAAAATACATGCTAACTTTAGAGTCCCACTGTAGGATGTAGTAAGTTTATGCTGACTTGTAGTAGGAAGAAGTTTGTAAGGGCAGTAGGGATGGAATATGCCTTTGAAATACATAACTCTTGTAATAAACAGTTTCATACTTAAGTTTGCAGTTCATAACTAAAGAATTTCAGCAACAGCAAGGCAGGGATCTATCTAAAGAACAGGAAGAACAATAATTGCCTCAGACTGAAACTGAGACAGCTAGATGTCACATCAGAATAAGATATTTAAGGTTTTAAATATTTTAATGAAAAATTAAGGCAAAAACTATATTTAAGGCTTCAGAGTTAAATTAGCAAAAATGGTTATTGG